ACAATTACAAGGATTCCCACATCCCTCTGCCATCTGAAGAGGTGAATTTTGTTAAAAGATCAAAGGCAGCTTTGATGAGGAAATGAATTCATTAATGTCCAATGCTTGGCGGATATTGAAGAAAATGGAAGAAGGCATTCCCATGCCTTTCTTAAGATCCGGTCTGGGTAGGGAAGGTTTACGGTAGATGGCGTGTGCATGGACCAGAGGGTTGTTTTTTTAAAGGTGTGGTGGAGGTACTACCTTCCCAAGTTGATTCCTCCATCACTGGTGCCAAACCATAGCACTTTTGCCAAAATTTGGCAATACGAAGTGCAGAAAAGATGTTGTGGAAAGCAATGAATCTTAAGACCTAACTAACTGCCATTTACTTTGTGACACTGAATAGCCATCAACCTTCACTTCCTTACCTGTAAATTAGGGATATATGGCCAGTAACTTTGAGGGATAGGAAAGGGATCAAATAAACTGAAACTTCAAAAAGCATTGTGTGAACTATAAAACACTATACAGGTAAAAAAGTATAAAGGACTACAGAGGTTTAGACGATTCAGAGAAAAAATCTAGTGTGAACCTTTTATTTTGATAAAACAAAATTTACTATAAATTTTACATTTGAAACTCCCAAACTTTCACTTACTTATTTTTAGAAATAAGACACAAGGCATCTTGGACTCCAAAATACCATTTTATACACCATAAAAGTGAAGACAATTGTGACAAACATTCACTAGTTTCAAGCGTACCTGTAAGAAACGCATGGACATACCTGGGTTTTCTAATCAGCTTCCCATCAACAAACATCTAAGTAACTGACATTTATATTCCCATTAACGGTAGGCACAATGCCACAAATATCAAATTACACAAATCATTTGCTTTTTATAATCTCAATTTGGAAACTGAAAATAAGAGGAATGTAGAGTTAAGTAGCTGAAAATGCTACGTTTACTTCACACGAGCACATCACGACAACGAATGCCAGAAGTAGTTCCCCTCAGGAATGATTTTTGAAAATTTAAAGTATACTTTATCCAAAAAGTTAAACTGTTTAGTGTGAAAGGCAAATTGAATGAAGTATTGACTCAATCTCTAAAGATCTAGCAAATTATAGATTTTGCGCAGTTACCAACACACACCGTTGAGAATACCGACTGTCCAAGAGAACACATGGATGGTTCTGAAGTGTCTACTCTATAGTTCACTTCAGCTTTACATGTCAATGGAACATAAGATTCCTCGATGGGAGGTTATTCTGCACTGGATACAGGTCACATGTATGATTCAGAACAAACGACTGTTCTTCACCTTTGAGGAACCTATTGTTAATTTATACAAAGTTAGATTTTTTTCACCCACATGTATGGATAAAAGTGCTTCTGAAATGTACGTGGTCCATTTCCATTATCCTAAAACAAAAGTGAAGGCACACAAATGGATAATAGTTTATATACTGTATGTGCTTTTCATCAGTCTTCAAACAAATTCAGATGCTATCTAGAGAGGTGTGACCAACTCGTTACAAATTTCTACGACTTGAGAAATTAAAGATCTAAGAACTCTCTGAACAGTGCAGTCCTGTGCAATTCACATATTGGTTCACTCGCTCTGCAAGCTGGTGAGTCACTCCTTAATCTCTACAGGTTGCAGGTACTTACGTTTCAGCAATTATAAGACCAAAAAGACTACGGGAGACGGACTTGTCGGGGTGAGTCTCCCACAAAAGTTGCTTTGCATCTTGTTACAAATCGATTTAATATGCTTGAATTAAGTTTTACAATCACCATAAAGACATTTACTCTGACAGAGTTGAAAGAAATTAACTAAAAACCACACAAGTCTCTAATTTTAATGAGAAGTATTTTTCATTTATATACAAAGGAATGTAATAGCCAGCAGCATTGAAATATAGAAATAGTTCCATCTCTTCTCTTTTCCCTTTTATAAAGTGCTATTCTTAACAGAGTAGATTTACTATTCAGCTTGTCAGTAACTTCACTGTACGTCTCTAAGAGATTCAAGGAAACGCTGGAAAATTGAAACGATTTTGTATTTTAAACATTTGCAAAACACTACTACAAAGCATAGAGACCATGAATGGATCGTATTAGTAAAATAAAAAGCGTACCTTGAGAATCATTGAGTTGATTTAATAATTACTTCACAGAAGCATACACTAACATTTATGCCAATTTTTGCTGTCTAAACCAGAAACAGTTTCTGCAGGCAATTCAACTCTAAGCACCATCAAATAGGGTCATGTCAAATAATTCCAATGGTTATATGATCCCCAGAACAAAAACTCTGGCAAATTTAGACTTTTAGAATAGCAAAACCAGTGAGAATCAGAACCAGAGGCAATATTTTACTTAAAGTACCAGAGATTGTGAAAAATATTTTGTTTAAATAAAAATTGTGTAGTTAATAAAGTACCTCAACACTCAGTGCAGTGGGATGAAATATAGTTAAGAGGAAACCATACTGCGGACTAACTCAAAGGTGAATGTTGCTTATTTCTTTAGTTCAGTGATTAAAGCTGAAATTGCTTTAAAAAAAAATAGTTGAACACTACTTGCAATACAAATAGGATGCCAAGAGGATTTCCATTTTTATTCACATTATTCACTAACTAGTATTTTGTGTTTCAACTTTGACTCGACCTTCAGTAGTATCTTAAAAAGCAAATTCAATTACTGTAGTAAAAAAACAGGGCAGTATATAGTTTGTTCACACTCACAAATACTACCAGTTTCATTACAATTTGCATTTCTTGTTGCTCTTGGAAGAGTAAACACTTTTAAAAACACACATAGAAGTGCAATATTCCTTACTTCACATGGCATCCAGCAATGGTTAACTCAAAGGAACCCTCAGTCATCAGTTCTGCACCCCCAATGTAGATAGATTTCTGGTCCTTAGAAACAGGGACTCCAGGGCAGAGAGGTGGCATGGGGAAAAGAGGCCCAGGTCAAGGTTTGATGAAGCACTTGGAAATCCCCTTCACCCAGAATACTGGGGGGGAATTCCTATCACCTATTCCAGCCCCCAAGAAAGGATGGAGAATTTATCCTAAGTCTTTTCTGCCTCACTTCCTCACCTACATCTAATGTGGTATTCCTAAAGCCACATAAATCTTAGAATTTTCTAAAAGAAATTGTTTTTACCCAAATACATTGGATTTCGGTCTCAACTTGAATGAAGAGGAGTGGCCTTTAAGAGACCGATCCTCCTCTTCCTCCTCCCCCTCCTCCAGCGGCTGCTCCGGATCTCGGAAAGAGCACGGTGTGGTGTGGATGATCTGGGTTCGGAAACGGATTTTGTTGAGTCGGGGTTTTATCCGCCCAGTGGAGCTGCCTGAGGCTTTGCGACCTTGCTCCTTTGCTTTGCCTCCAGCCCATCCCTCAGCCAAGTGGTGATGGTGGTGATGATCCCCTCCATCCTCCAGGACGTGGGAGAGTTTGTAGGTGATGAGATGTGAGGGGAGCACCTTGGAAAGCCTCCAGCGCCCACCCCCGCTGCCGGCCGCGCTCTCCCCGTCCTCCTCGTCCAGGGCTCCCACCAGGTTCTTGATCTCCTCCGCGATGCTCGGACTCAGGTACTGAGAGGCCTTTTTCCCACTGTAGTCCCTGATGTCCACGTCCGCGTCATAGGCCCCCACCAGCAACTTCACCACCTCCACGTGCCCGTGCATGGCTGCCAGGTGCAGGGCGGTGTAGCCTCCGCTTGTCCTGGCGTTGATATTCACTGGCAGCTGGTGTTTGTTGGCGAAGTTGACCAGCATGGCCAGGAGCTCCTGCCTGCCGTGCTTGGCGGCCCAGTGCAGGCAGGTGAAGCCTGTGATGAAGTCTCGCTTGGCCAGCAGGCCAGGCTCGCAGGTGAGCAAGCCTTCCAGGCCGTCCCACTTGCCGTCCGAGGCGGAGAGCATCCACGCGTGCTCCAGAGGGTCCAGCGTCACCGAGCCCCCGCCACTGCTCTCCTCCTCGGCCGACGACGAAGCGACGGACGCGCTGTCCGAGTCGCCCCCGCTTTTGCAGCGCCCTGCAGCAGAAGAGCCCCCGGGGCTGCTGCCCTCAGGACAGACGCTCCTCTTCAGCTGGGGGGAGCTGCCCATCACAAGGTCCCGGAGGTTCTGGCGGGTGGACCTCGGGGCGGCGATGCCCCCGGGCGGGCTGCCCCCGTCCGCCGCCTCCCCGTGGGGCGCGGGCTCCAGGTCCTCGCCGGGGCCAGAGGCTGGCCCACGGGGCGGGGGCTGCGCGTCGCGCCGCGAGTTCTTCCTCCGGGCCCCGCCGCTCCCGCTGTCGCCGACCGGGCTCGGCGGCCGGAGCGCGGCGGCCGCGAGCTCCCCATGCCCGTCGTGCGGCCCGCAGCCCGGCCCCGGGGGCGCTTCGGGAGGCGCCGCCTCCGGTGGCTCGGGCTCCGCGGGCGGCGGGCCCGGCGGGGGCGCGGCCGCTTCGCAGAACCTCCTCTTGAGGTGCACGTACTTGCAGCCGTCGGCGGGGTCAGCGCGCACCGTGGCCACGGCGTTGACCAGCTCCTTGAAGCGCGCGCGGGCGCGGGCGCGCTGCTCGGGCTCGCCGCCCAGGGCGCCCGCGAAGTGCTGCACCAGCTCGGCGTGCCGGACACGGCCCCCGCGCGCCGCCAGGAAGCGCAGCACGGCCTCGGGGCCCAGCTCCGCCGGCCCCGCCATCCGCGGCCGCGCTCTCGTGGGCGGCGGGCGGCTCAGCCCGACCCCATCGCGGCCCGCTCCACGGGGCCCGCTCCGACCGACCGGACGGCAGGCAGGGGCTCACGCTCCGCGCCACCGCGTCTGAGGCCGGGCACCGCCACTGCCCCGCTGAGCCGCGCCCCGGGGGTCCACGCCCCCGCCTGCCCCGCCCACTTCCGGTTCGCGCGCCGGCCGCAATCACAGCTCCCGCCCGCCGCCGGCGGACACGCCCCCTCCGGTCCCGCCCACTTCCGGTCCGCGCGCGGGCGGCGATCACTGCACCCCCGCCGCGGTGGGCTGGCTGGGGAGGAGTCGTCGCGCTGTTTCCTCTCGTCAGTTCTGAAACCTCCTCAGTCACGCCCCCGGCACTGACTTGTCCTCTCGGACGTCGAGGGGGGCGCCCCGACTTGGCGCGGCGGATGGCGCGCGCCCCTCCCGGCGGGTCCCCGCCCCCTGGCCTGCGCCCCGCGTCCCCGAGGCCGCTGGCCCGGCCCCGCCCCGTGGAGGCCAGCCCCGCCCGTTACCCCGCCGCCAGCCCCCTCCGAGAGCCCGGACCGGCCCCCTGGCTGCATCGGCCGCGGGGACCGCTGCTCGGGGCCTCCGCCGGCCGCGTCCGCTCCCGCCCGGGACCATGGCCGCCGAGGGGGCGCGGCACCTGGTGAGTCCCGCCGCCCCGCGTATTTTCTCAGCGCAGACTCCGGCCGCCCCCGGCTCGGCGGCGACGGGGCTCCCCGTTCGGCAGCGGCGGCCCGCCGGGGCGCCGGGCGGGAGCCGCCGCAGTCCCCGCAGTGCTTCCTGGCTCTGCCCAGGGGAGTCCGGAGCGCGGTTGCAGGGTTCCGCGTTTAACGGTCTGAGTGTCCGGGCGGGGACGCGTGCGGGCGGGGACGCGGCGGCGGCGCTCCCGGGCGCGGGCGGGCGCGCGGCGGACGAAGACGTGTGCGGGCGGGGACCCGGCGGGCGGGGACGCGTGCGGGCGGGGACGCGGCAGGCGGGGACGAGTGCGGGCGGGGACGAGTGCGGGCGGGGACGTGTGCGGCCGGAGGAGGCAGGCGGGGACGAGTGCGGGCGGGGACGAGTGCGGGCGGGGACGCGGCGGGCGGGGACGAGTGCGGGCGGGGACGAGTGCGGGCGGGGACGAGGCAGGCGGGGACGAGTGCGGGCGGGGACGTGTGCGGGCGGGGACGAGTGCGGGCGGGGACGCGGCGGGCGGGGACGAGTGCGGGCGGGGACGCGGCGGGCGAGGACGGGACGTGTGCAGGCGGGCACGCGGCGGGCGGGCACGGGGTGGCGGCGCGCCCAGACCCTCGCTCCCTGGCGGCTCAGCAGCCTGTCTGTCCCCCGGCTGTGCGATGGCCAGTCGTTCTCCGTGAGGATGGGAGCCTTGTTTTTGCCGTGGCACCCTTGTGGACCGAAAGAATACATGGCGGTCGTTTGCTCAGTGTTTGAGGCCTTTCGAGTCACTTTGATAAGTATCTCATTTGATAGTAAGCCAGTGGTTCTCAAAGTGTGGTCACGATTGTTTTCATGACAACACCAACCTGTTACTTGCCCTCTTCGCTCTCATTCTTAGGAGTGCACGTTGAGTTTCCCAGAGGCCACGTGCTGTGTAATGGCTTCACTGTTCTGAGGGCTCATGGAATATGTCCCTGTGTATACTTATCTTTTTAAAAGTTTGTTTTAATTTCCGATATTGTAAATATCAATGGTTGTAATCCGTGTTAATAAAAGCTCATTGGAGGCCTGAGAGCAAAAAATTTGAGAACTACTGGTCTAAGCGATCCCCTAAATTAGAAGTTGAGAACAGGAACAGAGTGGAGATGGTAGCAAGCGAAGCTGGGTGCTGGGCCCACGTTCAGCCGGCCTCTCTGATGGCCCCCGGACAAGGGCTGCTTCTCCCCGTGTCAGCCCGGGTCTCTTTCACTGTCACGTGTTTAGAGAACTCTCCGTTCTCTGTCTGGACTGCTTTGTTGCAGTTGCTGTGTTTGGGTGCCTGTGTGGGTGAGGAAAATCTGTTTTATAAACTCTTTGATTCAGAGTAGTCTTTAGAATTTAATTTGGGCTGAAAAGAGCACTTCATTTGTCTGATTTCTTGTCTGTTTCTCTTATTTTGCAATAATAAGGCTACCTTTATTTTCTAATTAGACTTTATTTTGAGATAATCGTAGATTCACATCCACTGGTGAGAAATAAGAGAGATTCCCTGTACTCTTTCCCCAGTTTTCTTTAGTAATAACATCTTGCAAAACCATGATACAGGACCATAACCAGGACATTGACATTGAAGCCTTGAAGACAGAGAACTTTCCTTCACTGCGAGGATGCCTCAGGTTGCCCTTTTGTAGCTGCACCCGATTCCCACCCACCCCACTTCCTCAACCCCTGACAACTGCCAGTCTGTTCATTTATATAATTTCCTCATTTCAAGACTGTTACATAATGAAATCACACAGTGTGTAACCTTTTGGGATTGGCTTCTTTTCACTCAGCAAAATTCTCTGGAGATTCATCCAGGTTGTTACGTGTAATTTGTTCGTTTTTTGGGTAGTATTCCATGGTATGGATGTACCATACTTTATTTAAAGGACATCTAGGTTGTTTCTGTTGTTGGGCTGTTAAGAAAAAAGCTGCTATAAACGTTAGCGTACAGTAACATAATATAACGTAACAATTCTCTGGGATAAATGCCCAGGAGTATAGTTGGTGGGTCATATGGCAGTTGCATGTTTAGTTTTATAAGAAACTGCTGAAATGTTTCCCAGAGTTTCTGCCCCATTGTCCATTACCATAAGCAATGTATATGAGAGATCAGTGTCTCCATATCCTCACCAGCATTTGGTGTTCCTATTTTTTATTTAGACATTCTGATAGGAATGTAGTGACATATTGTGGTTTTAATTTGCATTTCCCTAATGGCTAATGATGTTAAACATCTTTTCATGGGCTTATTTTCCATCTGCATATTCTCTTCAGTGAAATGTCTCTTCATTTTTTTTGCCCATTTCCTAATTGGATTTTTTTTCTCTTTTTTACTGTTTATTTTAGAGTTTCTTTTCTAGATAGTAGTCCTTTCTTGATAGGTGCTTTGCAAATGTTTTCTCTCAGTCTGTAGTTTTTTTCATCCTCTTAAAAGAGTCTTGCAGAGCAGAAATTTTTAATTTTGATAAAATCCATTTTATACTTTTTTCTCCTATGGATTGTACTGTTTGTATCAAGTCTACGATCTCTTTGCCTAACCCTAGATCCCAAAGGTTTTCTCTTAATTTTTTTCAGGAAGTTTTATAGTTTATGCTTTACGTTTAAATCCATGACCCATTGTGGGTTGGCTTTTGTATAAGATGTGAGACTTAGGTGAAGGGTCATCTTTTGGCTTATTGATGCTCCACCACCATTTCTTGAAAAGGCTATCTTCAAAATTGTTTTTGCACTTTTGCCAAAAAATCATTTGAGCATATTTGTGTGGATCTCTTTCTGGGTTCTTTATTAACACACAGTCTTGATTCCTGTAGTGTATAGTAAGCCTTGAAATAGACTAGACTGATTCTTTATTCTTATTTTTCAAGATTTTCTTCTTATTTTTCAAAATTTTTTTGGCTATTCTAGTTCCTCTGCCTTTCATTATAAATTTTAGAGTAGTCTTATCAATATCTGCAAAGAATTTTGCTGGGATTTTGATAGGAATTAGGTTAAATCTGTATATCAATTTAGGGAGAATTGATATCTCTACTATATTGAGTCTTCCAACCTAAGGACACGGTACTTCTCCCCATTTCTTTGTATTTTCTCTTAATTTCTTTCATCAGCATTATATAGTTTTCAGCATACAAGTCCTGTGTATGTTTTGTTAGGTTTCCACCTATTTCTTTTTTTTTTAGCAATGTAAATGGTATTTATTTTTAATTTCCTTGTCCACATGTTCATTGTTAACGTATAAAAATACAGTTAATTTTGTATGTTTATCTTGTATCCTTTGACCTTGCTGCATTCATTTATTCTAGGAGTTGGGATTCCTACTAGATTCTTTGGGATTTTCTACGTAGAAAATCACGTCATATACACATAGGGGCAGTTTTATTTCTTCTTTTCCAATCTGTATGCCTTTTCTTTCCTTCATTTCTTTCCTGCCTTATGGTGCTGGCTGGGACTTCTAGCATCATTGGAATAACAGTGGTGAGAGCAAGACATACTTGCTTTGTTTCTGATGAGGGGGAAGCCTTCAGTCTTTCATTGTAACTGTGGGGTTTTTTGTAGGTGTTCTTTATCAAGTTCATGAAAGATATTGGTCTGTAAGTTTTTGTACTGTCTTTGTTTGGTTTGGTATTAGGGTACTATTTTGTGAAATGAACTGGAAAGTGTTCCCTCTTCTGTTTTCTGAAATAGATTGTAGAGAATTGGTGTTAATTCTTTAAATCTTTGGTAGGATTCTTCTGTGAAACCATCTGGGCCTGGAGATTCCTTTTTTGGGAGTTTTAAAATTACAAATTTAATTTCCTTAATAGTTATCCAGCTATTCATATCATTGCATAGTGGGTGAGTTGTGGTAGAGTGTGGTTTTGTGATCCGTTCCTTCCAAGGTGTCAGATTCATGTGTATAGAATTGTTCATAGGAGTCCCTTAATATCCTTTTGATGTCTTCAGGGTCTGTCCCGATATTCCCTGTTTCATTCCTGATATTGATAATTTGTGTTTTCTGCCTTTCTTAATTTTGCTAGAAGTTTGTCGATTTCATTCATCTTTTCAAAGAAGCAGCTCTTAGTTTCATTGGTTTTCCTCTGTTGTTTTTCTATTTTCAGTGTAACTGATTTCTGATTCTTTTTGCTTGCTTTCTGTTTAATTTGCTCTTCTTTTCTAAGTTCTGGAGGGGAGACCTTAGATCATTGATTTGAGACTTTTCTTCCTTTCTGTTGTATGTACTTGGCAATGTGAATTTCCCTCTCAGCAGTGCGTTAGCTGTGTCCAGGAAATTTTAGTATTTTGTATTTTCATTTTTATTCTACCTTTATTTTTTAAAGACCTCTGTGTTAAATTTCACTTGATACTCTTAACAGATTTACAGACTTATTTTTTTAATAGAAGACGACATTAAGTCTCAGGGAGGTTTAGTATCTGCTCCAGGAGTCACAGCTGGTGGTGGTGAGATCTGCCTTGGCTCTGTTGTCTCTGCCACCATCTCCAGCATGTCCCTTATTAGTCTTTGCATGAGTTTTATGATTCCAGAGATCTTGACTGTATAGTTATTTATTGCTGACTGTGGTAGTGGATCTTGAAGTAATATTGACTGTCTTTTTCTGTCTCCTGAAACACACGCTCATAATTTTCTGCTTCAGACTGTCCTTCTAAAACCTTTAAATGATGTCTAAATCTTTTCAATTCCTATATGTATTTGTCATTTCCGGTTTCACCTGCAGTGCCTCTGAACTCTTTTTCTGTTATTTTTCAGTGAGGATAATTTGTGTATCTTAGAGGCTTCCCTCATTTGTTTTACTTTCTATCTTGAAGTGTGAGTCTTAATTCTTTCCTTTCATGTCCTGGAGTTAATTATTACCTCAGTGCCTTTGTGCATTCCCATTTCTCCATTTGGTGAGACATCCTTCTTTCCCACTGATCCAGATCCTATAATCATTATAGGATAATGAAAGACCAAGTTCCTGTCCCACCTCC